GGCTGATGGAGGGCCTGAAGGTGGGGCTGAAGGTGGGGCTGAAGGTGGGGCTGATAGAGGGGCTGATGGAGGGCCTGAAGGTGGGGCTGAAGGTGGGGCTGAAGGTGGGGCTGATAGAGGGGCTGATGGAGGGCCTGAAGGTGGGGCTGAAGGTGGGGCTGAAGGTGGGGCTGATAGAGGGGCTGATGGAGGGCCTGAAGGTGGGGCTGAAGGTGGGGCTGAAGGTGGGGCTGAAGGTGGGGCTGATAGAGGGGCTGATGGAGGGACTGAAGGTGGGGCTGAAGGTGGGGCTGAAGGTGGGGCTGAAGGTGGGGCTGAAGGTGGGACTGAAGGCAGGACTGAAGGTGGGACTGAAGGTAGGACTGAAGGTGGGACTGAAGGTAGGACTGAAGGTGGGACTGAAGGCAGGACAGAAGGTGGGACTGAAGGTAGGACTGAAGGTGGGACATAAGGTAGGACTGAAGGTAGGACTGTAGGTGGGACTGAAGGTAGGACTGTAGACAGGACAGAAGGTAGGACTGAAGGTGGGGCTGAAGGTGGGACTGAAGGTGGGACTGAAGGTAGGACTGAAGGTGGGGCTGAAGGTGGGGCTGAAGGTGGGACTCAAGTTGGGACTGAAGGTGGGGCTGAAGGTGGGACTGAAGGCAGGACTGAAGGTGGGACTGAAGGTAGGACTGAAGGTGGGACTGAAGGCAGGACAGAAGGTGGGACTGAAGGTAGGACTGAAGGTGGGACATAAGGTAGGACTGAAGGTAGGACTGTAGGTGGGACTGAAGGTAGGACTGTAGACAGGACAGAAGGTAGGACTGAAGGTGGGGCTGAAGGTGGGACTGAAGGTGGGACTGAAGGTAGGACTGAAAGTGGGGCTGAAGGTGGGGCTGAAGGTGGGACTGAAGGCAGGACAGAAGGTGGGACTGAAGGTAGGACTGAAGGTGGGACATAAGGTAGGACTGAAGGTGGGACTGAAGGTGGGGCTGAAAGTGGGACTGAAGGTGGGACTGAAGGTGGGGCTGAAGGTGGGACTGAAGGTGGGGCTGAAGGTGGGGCTGAAGGTGGGACTGAAGGTGGGGCTGAAGGTGGGGCTGAAGGTGGGACTGAAGGAGGGGCAGAAGGTGGGGCTGAAGGTAGGAC